CTACAGCTTTACACAACTCTACAGAAATCAGCACTGTCAGTGTGTCACGACACATTTGAAAAGTATCTGTCCAACAAACCCAGCGTGGCACCAGCACCCACAGTGAGCTACGACAGGGCTGTATGCCACAGTTGCTTCCACAGAACGAACTGCAGGGTTCCATTTCAGAGCCTCAGTAACTTCACATCTTGTTAAGAAAAGCCAGGTGAGCACAGCCTTCGTGCCAGCGCAATGACAAACTGAAGCTCAGAAACAGCCACACCTCAAACAATGCCCAATACTACGAATGCTTACACGAACCTTTCACAAGACTAAATTCATTACAATATAATTTAATGTATCATATGAATATAAAAATCATATACTTAAAAAGACCAAGTGCTTGCATTTGCCAGATTAGTAATGCATTTTCTGCAGCCTTGCAATATTTTCCATGGGTTCCAAAGTTCTACCAGGCCTGGCAAAGCTGACTTGAAAATCCTGTCCTTCACCTACAAACCAGCCAATGTAAAGCCCACTGGCACCAAAGTAAGCAGCAAACACAGCCAAGGATGGGGAAGAAAGTGAGAATACACAAATGAGGAAAATAAGACAGAACAAACTCTGCGTTATTAATACAGAATCACAGAATCCTAGAATGGTTTGGGTTGGAAGGGACCTTTGGGACCATCTAGTTCCAACCACTGCCATGGGAGGGGACAGCTTCCACAAGACCAAGCTCCCAGTCCCATCCGACCTGGCCTGGAATACTTATAGGGACAGGGCAGCCACAGCTGCTCTGGGCTGAATGCCCTCCCCTGAACACCCTCCCTCACAATGCAAATAAGATGTATGACAAGGTCATTCTGTTTGGTTTTTCATTCCCACAGCAGCTAGTGCACATCACTCCAACCCCCACCCGTGGAAGCAAACAGGCTTCCCGGCAGAGCAGGAGTGGCATACCTGGTGAAAACACCAGCAAAACTGAATTTTCAGCAGCCTTGGTTCAGGCAAGCCATGAGATTAGAGGAGATCCCAAAATCCATTCTTAGGCTGCAAGGTCCATCAGTCAGATGGACCAGAGTCAGCACAGCTAACCCATTATTTTTTCCTTTTCAAGCTGTGAAGACCCACAAATCCACTGGGGAAGGAAGCACCCGTTTTCCTTCACTTCTTCCCCCAGACTTCCCAAAGTACTAGCTGATGCTGAGATGCCAGGACTTACTTTGTTTCTGATGCAGCAAGTGTAGGGCACCCCGCAGGCCAGAGGTCCCGGCGCCGCACAGTTGTGGTATACATTCTGGGACCAGTCTTTGTAATCTTCCCCACCACAGCACTTAAACTGGAAAAAAATTGCACAAAAATGTGATGACCTTAGAGGACTTTTCCAACCCAAATGATTCTATTATTCTAAAAGGTAAAAGAAAAAAAAATATCTTAAATTCCTTGAGTAAGTAAAAAACAAAGTGAGAATAAAACAATCATAAAAGCCCTGAGCTACCCAACAATTCTGTCACTTTGTCAGCAAGGCATGTATGGATGTGCATGATAGATACAATTTAAAAGAGATAAAGGTACAGGCAGCATTGCTCTGCCACTCATCAAGCTGTTACCCAAGGCGCCAGAGCTAAGTGCTTGGCAGTTAGTTCTGCCTCCCTCCTTTTCCGAGCTGAGAAATCATTCCAGGTCTGGATTTCATTAAGTAACGTATTCACATTCACATCTTGACCTGCAACAGACTCTGCAATTTTTTTAAGGATTGTGACTACGTTTCTAAATGGCTCTAAAGGACAAAAGCCTTGATGCAATGCATAAATTAAGCTCATCCAAACATCTTGAGTGTAATGTAGAAGAACTAAAATCTGGCAAACAAATACTGCAAGTCTACACTGACTTTACACAAATATTCACTTTATAATTTAAACAGTGGGAAAAGGAGCAGTTTATTTAATCACTAAAGTGTGTATTTGCTGTAGGTATCCATAGTTTTGGGCAGTGCATGGAAGCTTTAAAGCATGATGACATCTAATGACAAAACTTCCTCAGTATGGTTTGCTTGTGACAGACTTTCCATGCTAACTGTTTTTCAAAGCAGGCTGCCATCTCCATAACGATGTATGCATCACTTCCTAAGGGAGTTTTTAAAAAATCATTACTTGGCATAGTCACAGACATCACACGGGCCCTGACATCACATCTCTGAACATTTTCTGCTTCGTCCATAGTCTCTGAATTGCATGGCAGAGCTCCTCAATAACCCAATAAATATTTCAACAAACCAGTCTTTTTAAAAACAGGCTGTGAGTCAACTCCATGTGCCATTAAGTAATGCTCAGCTGAGACCCACACAATTCCTGAATTTTAAGGACAGGTATAGATGCCTCCCCGGGCACCTCCTTCGAATAACCAGCTCGTTAGAGAAGCTCACTGTGTGCCCCTGAGTGACAACACAACGGCCCGGATTCCCCCTCGGTTCTTCTTGTCCAGTGTCTGCTGTTAACGAGATATCTCCGAATCTCCCAGACTGGCCAGCAGAAATGCTGAGTGCAAGGACCTGGGTGGGATTGAGTCTGGCTGTGGGGCCTCTCTAAGCCTGCATGTTTGTAGGACCTGCCCTGGAGCAGCTGAATCGCATCGGCCAAGGCAAACGCTGCATTTTTCCCCCCACCTCTTGCAGCAGTTTAGAGGGTTTTATCTGCCAGCTGGGATGCTGAGGAGCCCTGACCTCAGCGAAGATGTAACAGACAACACACGAGACCTCACTCCCCTGTCAATCAGAACTAAACAAATCACTGGGAAAACTCAAAGCTGGTGCCAAGGACCAACCACACCCTGTGCCAAATTAGTCCCAAGAGAAAACACAACCAAACCTGCTTTTGAACAGAATCCATGATGTTCTTGAAGTCTAAATCATCATAGTAATTCTGAATTCCTCTTCTAATGTTATCGTTCAAAAATTTGATTGTCTAAAAGGCAAAAGGAAAACAAGATTCATGGGTCACACATACTGAAGCAAAATCAGAAGAGCAGGTTAAAGTGACAGGTCTAACTGACAAGACAAAAGAAAAGGCTATTTTTAAAAAAGAGGAACAAACACTGGTTACAAGCAAATCTTAGCACAGTTCTGCAGGGACCAACCATCTGTTATCTCCTAAGGAAGCAGCCTTAACCTGGGTTTGTGCTAAGAACTGCCAACAGTGCAACACCTCTCTCCTCTGAGGCTCTCTAGGCACCTCCCAGAGACAGCCCCATATCCCCAGGCAGGATCCCCTCCCAGTGGGCACTGGGGATCCTCACCACTTTTCCAGTGACAGAAAGGTGGGTTTGGGCAGTAGGTTTGTCACTGTGGTCTGCACCGAATCCCAAGCAATAAGAGCTGACTCTGTCACCACCTTCCATGTATTTTAGGACCATCTTAACTGGCCAAGAAACTCATTTAGACTTGACAGATTTGAGAAGGAGGTAGAGAAAGAAATGGGAGAAATCAATGAGACATACAAAACACACAGCACTTAAACAGAGGCTACTACCCTCAGCTTTTATAAATACTTCCTTCTCCTCCCCACACTAACCTGAACTTCTTCGGTAACCTCAAAAACCAAGGAAAGAAACCAGTCCCTATCATAGCTGGCCTGCTTTGGTCCAGCATGGAGCAAGAAGAAAACACTAGCCAGGGAGAACATAATACTACTTCAAAATAACAAACAGTGATTTTTCTTTAAAATATTTCTTCCAGCTATTTTTTTTGACATCATATATAGCACAACATGTATAGCTACTTTATGTGAAAATGAGCTTGGTAGGACTGGGGTGGGGAGAGAAGAGCTCTTATTATTCAGCATCTCCTTTTCATGCTTATATTTTGCCACGTTAGAAAAATAAAAACATCAAAGCATAGAAATCTAGTACTTTCCATGGTGAACACATTTATGTTTTGAGGAAATGGTTAGAAGTTGCATCAGGAGAGGGTTAGCCTGGAGATCAGAAAATGGTTCTTCCCCCAGAGGTGTTTGGGCACTGGAACAGCTCCCCAGAGGATCCTCAAGGGTCCCTTCCAACTGATTATTCTGTGATTCTGTGAAAAAAAATAGTCTGCTCCTTTCTGTTTAAAAGAAGAATCAAGGTTTTAATACCGACATGGTATGTTTATAAATAATGAGGTCTCCTACAGAAATCAGTTATGTAGGTTATGGACAGGGACGGGGAAGAGCTATCCTTTGGGTAAGGTAAAACATTTTGGCCACTAAAAAACAAAACATTCCACAAATGCAGCTGGAAACTTCAGCAACCTGAGACCTGGACAGCAAAACAGAAGAAAGCACTTTGTAACACACGAAGAGCTGGAAACTCACTTTGCCTGTGTTGCACATTCTTAGTTACCAGACTTCCTCCAGCTTCTTTAATTTGGAATTCACCTCTAGAACAGGTGGCAAATCCCACCATTCCTGAACCTTAAAGACCCCGAAGAGCCTGGGCCTGTATTTAGCCCTCCATCAATTAGCGCTCAGGTGACAATTTTAACACCTTTCCTTTCGCACCACTGTAACACCATGGACCATAAGTCATGTTCTCCATGACCAACACCTGAACACAGGCAGCTCACCTGGTTTCTGAAGATCAGGGCCACCACTCCACCCGTCAGCTCAATCAGCAGACAGATACCGAGGATATACATGAACTGCACAAAAACAAGTCCATGTGAGTCATTAGACAGAACAAACCCAAATCATTTTTTCAATTAATGCCCTTTAGTCTGCAACACTCAACTGACAACAGACTTGGCTTTCAGCACACAAGATGGCATTTTAAAGGAAGATAAAAAATTATGGTTTTGCTCTTATAAAGCTGTTCATGTCACAAGAAAGCATTTTTCTTCACTTGAGTTACTGAGATTTGTTCACTTGAGTTATTCTGGGTTTTGCCCAACTGGCAAACACATTGTTTTTCTGCTTTGAATGGACTCAAAACCATGAGATGTATTTATCATACCAAGATACTCCTCTCCACAACAGCATCTCAGAGAAGCACCCTGATGGACCATTACAAACCACATCAAACTTCACGTCTTTATGCTTCCCTACAAAACCAGTACTTACCTGTTAGCTTTAAACTCACAGCACTGATATTCCAAACCACCTTCTAAATTGCCAGGGCTAAATCCAAGCAGAATTCTGGGCTTGACACCTTTCGGTGTGTTGCTCCACACGTTTATCTAGACGCACGTGGATATGCACACACTCACAAGACCAGGTGTGCGGCCGAGGCTGCGCGTCAAAGCCCATGCAGAGTATGTATACTACAAGAAATCCACAGCACCGTGAGACAGCTGCAACGTGCCAGTGCTTCAAATGTTCTTCCACCCCAAAGGGTTCTTCAGGCATAAAAGATGGCTGTTATGAGAACTTAGGTCTGCTGCTTAACAACAAACTTCATCAGGAGCAAAGGTTTATGATCCCTCATCTGAAAATAATCCCTAATGGTCCCCCTGAAAACTGATTTAATTTCTGTGTGCTCAATATGCAGTATCAGTATAATGAATTCTCCAAGTATCTCTTCTCCTGCTAAATCTGCAGCCAGCCAGAGAAGCAGGCACCAGGGACTTGCTTTGTTAAATACCCACCTGGGTTTGCTACCAGAACAGGAAGAGAAAATGTCCTTGGCATCAGAGGACACGCCATCACGCTCAGTGTGAATGAAGATTAAGGACAGGCTCTCCGTAAAATTCCAGCACAACTTCAAAATCCACAGCTACTTCTGGCTTTGTCCTCCATAACAGACCACATATTCAGCACTTCATTAGACCAAACTGACATGAGAAGGCCAGGCTGGATGGGGTTTTGAGCAACGTGGTCTGGTGGGAGGTGTCCCCGCTCACCGCAAGGGGGTTGGACTAGATGGCCTTTAAAAGGTCCCTTCCAATCCAAACTATCTATGATTCTACAAAGGTGAAAACAATGTTTTCACGCTTTATGTTTAATTAGTCATATGTGCAACTTCCATCTGCAACCACAGCATTAGTCAGGAATTTCCCTGACATTTACCCTTTAGAGGCACAGGAGACAAAACCTTGTTCCTTTCACTTCTCCCTCTGGGCCTTCTCCCAAAGCCCCAAGCCACACAGCTATCCTTGTAACACTCATTTCTACATCTCTTGCCTATATTCCACTTCTCAGGGGGAGACAGACAGATTCCAGCTACCACCAGCTCACTGGACATCAGCCTGAGCCAGGGCTCCTTTCTCAAGTGGCTTCCTCACGTTGAAATGAGAAGCCAACATCAAATGGTATGGCAATAGCTGAATTTCCACCAGATCCACACTGGCTGATAATAATTCACGTTCCTGGCTGTTTCCCAGAAGGCCCTTAGCTACTGGAAGGTTGGTTTTCAGTGCTGAGCCTGTGCCACTCTTGATGAGATGGAATGCTGCTGCTCCCTGAGGGAGCGCAGCTAAGGGATCACTGCCGCAAAGCAGCTTCAGAGTTCACCAAAATAAAAAAAAGCAACTTCATTGAAACATTTTTCAAAGCAGACATAGTTATGGGTTTGAATTCAGCACACACTGAAAAGCAAAAGCACTCAGCCTTAAAAATCAGGAGTAAAAACCCCAACACTTACTGCTTGCAGAAGGCATAAATTGTCTCTCAGAGAAGCCAGCACACCCACAAAGGATACCAGGAACATGATAATGCCCAGAAGTATCAGAATAATTGCTGGGGCTAGGAAGGCACTTTCTAGAGTTTTGTACTTTTGTCTTTCAATTTCTGCATAAATCCCAACGGTGAGGACGAGGGCTCCGATCACCTGAAACAGAAACAGAGGAGAGCACAGATGTTACTCTTTCTCCCAGTGAAGACAGAGGTGATGCGCTGTGAGCACACAGGAGCCTGTGGCTGCTCACTTCAGGATTCATTAAACAATGGAACACTCAAAGCAGAAGTTTGGATAAAAAGAAAATATAACTCTAAAGCAGAAAAAAGCCGAGGAAAAAAAACCTGAGATCTGTTAATCTGAAAAATATATTTCCTAATGTTTTAACATTCTGTAAGTTATATTGAAACATACATCACTCATTGAAATTCAGTTTATTACCTATCTGAAATGCCATGGCACTAATGTCCCTCCTCTGCATGTCTGTCTGTCCTTCTCTGTGTGTATGAACATATGTACATGTGTCTCTTAACAGCTTCTCAGCTGCTCTGAACACAGCTTGTACATCCCTTCATATCAGCTCCTACTCTACTTAGGTTCAGTAAATACTGTCAGGTATGTCCTCCAGTCCTCTTGTCCTCAGGGGAAAGGTGCTGGATTCAAAACTAAAAATATGCAACTTTGAAAGTATGTCACTTTCTTGAGCAACGACCAGATAAAGCTGTGAAACAAGAAAAGACACATTTCACGGAACAAGGTAGAGCCACTTCCGACAAAATTGCTCAGTATTAAACCTACAGCATTCTGCAAGTCACTCTGAATTATGCTGAATGAATTAAAATACAAAATAGCCCACAATACTCAGTCATGAAAATGGCAGTGGGAAACCTTTCCTGCCAGCTCCAAGAGCCAGGCACATCCTCAGGGCAGAGAACAGACACAAAACAATCATCTGGCAAACCGACGGACAACATTCCCCTTTTCTGACCCAACAGTTCCACAGGACCCACGGGGCTGCTCCCCACACACCAACATTCTTAATTCTCCTCCTGAATTTTTAACTGCACTTCCTAGTTTTGGATATGACACGGTGCATCCCAGAAAAAGGGTCAGATGAACACATGACATGAGTTGCAAGATCCTGAGCCCAAGGGCTGAAATCTTTTAATTATGGCACACCTTAAAATAAATAACTGCTTACTGAAAACTCTGGGTTTTCTGTGGGAATGAATAACAGCCCCAAAGGACAATATGTGGGGAAAGCCATCAAGCTGTCATTTAAAAAGAGAAGACTCTCAGAAGGGTTCACCCATAAATATACTGAAGCTATTTAAAAAGCAACTTAAAATTTGACATAATAAACTGAGAGCAACTCCCCCTCTGACACATCCAGAAATTGTGCTGTGACAGGCAACAGAAGAGAAAACGTGCTGGACAAGTAGCAGGTCCCAAAATTTACCCCTTCTATGCTGCAACAGTAAAACTGTAACAAGGGATTTTTTTATTTCTAGACGGTCCATTTTCAGTGTTAGCTTTATTCTTTAAAAAAACCCCAGTGATTTGATTTGGGTAACAAATTATCAATTTCTTTTCAAGCAGACGACAACATAAATCAGTTACAAACTTTTAAATGCAGCTATAACAATAGAAGAGTCTCAGAACCACTACAAAAAATCTTAGGTTATAAAATTGGTGACTGTACATGTACATATGATTCAGGAGTGCTATTACTATTATTGTTTTTAAAAATTAAAAAACCAAACAAAACTAAACTAAAAACATTACAGGTTTGTGCCCAGACTGCACTTACCCTGCTCAGAAAGCAGCAGATAATACAGCTTAAAGACAGACTCTCCTACAAACACTACAGCATCTCTTTTTAATGGTGTTCAGTGTTTTCCCAGCAGATTCCTTGTTTAGAAAACTTAAACACTGGACATAAACCACAGGTGTTAAAACTCAACAGGGGCTATCAGACCTTCAGAAATGTGCTGTGCCGAGTCTAGAGTGCTTTACTGAAATGCCTCTTTCTGATCTGCAGTTTTCTCATCAAAACATTCAATTCAGTATTTTTGAAAGTTTGTTTAAAAGATTCAGAATATGCGGTTAGGAATACCAGCCACATTCCCACTTTGAACTATAAACTGTATACACAGGCTTAGAGCACACAGTGCTCAAGAGACACACACATTAGCAGCTGCATATACAGGTGTATCTCCACCCTTTTCAGCTGCACTTTTGCTAGCATACCCTCCAAGAGTTATGCTTTTCTTAATCTTCTGCTTTTTTTCCATTTAAGCATCTAACAAAAATCTTTTAAACCTTTACTATGGTGAAATCGACAGCAGCAATTTTTTACAGCAAGCAGATGTGCCAACTTAGCAATCATCCCACCCGGGTCTCTTGGCAGGTCTGTGCTCTCCCTTCCTGTGACTGGGGGTGGGAACACAGCTTTCACGCAGGGAACCACAGATCCATGGACTGTTTATATCCTGCATCCTTCATACCAGCTCCCAGCTCAGCGATTCCAGCTGTGTACGCAGGCAAAATTAACTGGCCTTGACTCACACTGAATGAGCATCCACCAGCAAACACCAGGGGATTTCTCTGGGGCTTTTGCAGGCACAGAAGCTGCTTTCCCAGGAGAGATGAAAAGCATTTATTTATTTATTTATAAGCAGAGGTTTTAACCCTATATTTACAATACTTGTCCTTAAATACAGCACCCACTCAACAACAGCACCTTCTGTTTAAAACTCTCAATGCTGTTTCAGCCAGGCGAGAAAAAGTACATTACAGCCTCACTCACCAGCAAAGGAGTTGTCTGGAAAAGTTACAGGGACAGCTAGTTTTTAAAAAAGCCCTGGGAAGACACAGGGCCTGCAGCAAACATCCCCTCCGGCACTCCCAGCAATGCTTTCATTTCCCTTCCGCTCTGGATAAGGCTGATGTTTAACTCCTGGTGATTTATAGCCATCCTGGAGACACGAATCCAGGCATTCCTCACTCCTGATGCACCAGATGAACAGCAACAGCAGGGAGGGAATTGAATTAACTCAGCATCCAGCAAGCCAAAGCCCCAGACAGCAGCAGAACATCACAAACCACTAGAAATTTAAGCAAGCCAATACTCCACAGCAAACTTTGCTTCCATTTACACCAGTTCAAAAAAACCAACAAACTCATCAAGACTAACACAGCTGGAAAGAGAAGTAGACAACTCACATCTAATTACAGTTGACGAGATCTGTTTCCCTAAGCTGGCATAAAGGAAAATTTGAAGAGCAAAGCCCACACGCCATACCCCGCACAGCGCAGCACGTGCTGCCCAGCACAGGCCTCCCCCAGCATCTCTCCCCAGCCTGCCCTCCCCGAGCAAACCATCACCCTGACAGAGCCAACAAACCCAGCTCTCGGTTACAAACACGGGCAGAGCATGGCAAATCCAGAGCAGGAACTACAAAGAGTAAATCAAATCCTCAGGCTGCCTGAGAGAGGCTTTGTGCTCTGCAGACGCTCCGAGAGGCGTTTCAGAAGGTCCCTTTTCTGCCACCAGCTGAATGTTTACATCCCACCAGCAAGGGCCGGCGCTGCCGACAGAAAACACGGAGCAGGCAACGCGCGTGGTCCTTCAGGGAGGACACACTGCAGAAAAAGGGTTTGAAAAAATAACACAACAAATCTCCCTTTTCCGAAACTTGCACCTGCCAATAACTGCTATCAAGGAACACAAGAAGTGTCAGGAGCCTAAACCCAAGGGTTAGTTTGTCTGCTACGACAGACAAAAGATATCCGGGATTCCAAAAAGCCTAAATTCTACTCAAGCACTTTGCATTTCAATTTTTGTTCGCTGAATTGTAACTCTAATCAGACACCTACTATCAAACTTGGTGGATCTAAATCTCTTCTTCCACGCAGTGCACCAAAAGATTTAAGCTCCTACCTGGTAAATACTGTGTCAGACAGAAACCACCCACCCAAGCAAGAACTTCAGTGACATTTAAACTGAAAAAGCCAGAAAGAAACACCACACACCCCTTGAGCATCTACAACATCAGTACGGCCTGGAGCCGGCAACGCTGCAGTAGAGCAGGGCCTGGAAAAGCAGCTCTCAACAGCACAGTGCTTACACAGTGTCCTCACAGAGAGCCCCAGGGCAGGGCCGGGGGGTGTCCGCGGTAGAGGGGTCAGCAGCCACAGCCTGGGCTGATCATCTGGGACTTCACTGCTTTACCCAACACCTGGGTGAGGACAGCAAGTGCCACACACCGCTGAGCTCCTCAGTCCTGCAGCCTCACCCTGCCGAGCCTCGGCAGGGTACACGGCCCACACACCCGCGAGTGACGCTGTAGGGCAAAGGCTCTATTTGCCCACCTCGCCTGGAGGGGAAAAGCTGCGTTCTAATACACACAAACCATTTCTTGCTGCCTAACTTC